ACACCCGGCTAATTTTTTTTTTTTTGTAGAGATGGCGGTCTCCCTTTGTTGCCCAGGCTGGTCTTGAACTCCTGGACTCAGGCAATCCTCCCACTTTCGCCTCCCAAAAGTGCTGAGATTGCAGGTGTGATCCACCAAGCTTTTTATCTTGGAAGAATGTCAAAGTTAGAAATTGCAAGAGCTGTGTAAAGAGCTGCACGCACCCTCTGTGCAGAGATTCATTTCAAGATTCACCAGCTGCTTGCACCATGCCATTGCTGGCAAGGGACCCCACACGCTTGGTTGTTGGGCCCCTGAATCTCCGGGGTCTCCTCCCTCCTTACTTGCATGACCATGACTTTGGCCCCTGTGGAGGTGGCAGGTCTGTCATTTTGCAGATGGTCCCTCGACATGGGCTGGCAGGGGCTTCCTGGGAACCCCACGGGGATGCAGCGTCCTCCTCAGCCCCTCACATCAGGACACAGAGAACTTGTTATAACTTGGGCGATGGTCTCTTGAATCAACTTGGTTAGGGTTGCCTGCCCCAGTTTTCCACTGGGAAATTACTCTCCCCCGTGGGCAACGAACAAACACCTGACAGGGAGAAAATGCAGCCACCTAAAGTCATGCTCCTTATCAAACTTTACCCATCCATGTTTTGTTTGTTTGAAACAGGATCTCGCTCTGTCACTTGGGCTGGAGTGCAATGATGCAATCATAGCTCCCTGCAGCCTTGAACTCCTGGGCTGAAGTGATCCTCCCACTTCAGCCTCCTGAGTAGCTGAGACTACAGGTGTATGCACCATCAAGTCTGGCTAATCATTTTATTTTCTTATAGAGACAGGTCTCACTCTGTTTGTCCAGGCTGGTCTCGAACTCCTGGGCTCAAGCGATGCTCCTGCCTTGGCCTCTCAAAGTGTTTGGATGGCAGGCATGAGCTACCGTCGGTTTTTATACCGACTATTGATTCCTGCCACAATCAGCTATCACTATGATGCCTGACAAATGGTGTTCAAATCTCATCTTTCCTTCCCCATCCTTCCCTTCTCCCACCTTCCCTTCTCCCACCTTCCCTTCTCCCACCTTCCCTTCTCCCCACCTTCCCTTCTCCCCACCTTCCCTTCTCCCCACCTTCCCTTCTCCCACCTTCCCTTCTCCCCACCTTCCCTTCTCCCCACCTTCCCTTCTCCCACCTTCCCTTCTCCCACCTTCCCTTCTCCCCACCTTCCCTTCTCCCACCTTCCCTTCTCCCACCTTCCCTTCTCCCCACCTTCCCTTCTCCCACCTTCCCTTCTCCCCACCTTCCCTTCTCCCACCTTCCCTTCTCCCCCCTTCCCTTCTCCCCACCTTCCCTTCTCCCCACCTTCCCTTCTCCCCACTTTCCCTTCCCTCATATTTAGGGATCCTTTGCTTGTGTCGCTGTAGACTCGTGGCCACTGTTTTATTCTGCAGGTGATGTGCAAACTGTCCCAAATGTGGCTAGTGGGGCGCTGGGGCTGGCCCTTGTGACCTGGGACCGGTGCTGTCCATTCTCTCTGCTCTTCTACTTTCTGGACCGGACTTTCCAAGCTCAGCTTTCCCTGCTGGGAATCAGCTGAGCCGCTGCTCCTCTTGGCAGAGAACGGTAATTAGAAGCCAAGGTCTGGGCATGGGGTGTGCTCACTGCCCCCGAGGCACTGTGTTTCCAGGCCTCCAGGTAGGATACTAGGGCATTAGCACGGTGCACACACACCTGCATCTATGTTGATTTCCTCATCTCTACACAGGACAGCAGCAGTTCCAATTCAATGCAGAGCTCATTCTAGCTTCTCTATCTGTATCCTATCAGCTTTTTCAACAGTGAGAAATCTGGACCACTCAGTCTCCATAATGCAGCCGATCTCCTGGCCTCACTTAAATGCCATCTTCACGTGGGCTGGGGCTACTGCACAGCCACCTTCCTACTAGAAGGAGAGGGAGGAAGGGAGGGAAGAGAAATAAAGGAGGAGGGGGAGGGAGGGAGAGAGGGAAGAGGGAAAAAGAAGGGAGGCAGAGGGAGGGAGGGAGAAGGATGGAAGGAGGGAGGGAGGGAAGGAGGGAAGAGGAAGAAAGGAGGGAGGCGGAGGGAGGGAGAAGGGAGAAGAGGGGAGGAGGAGGGAGAAGGAAGGAAGAAAGGAGGGAGGGAAGAGGAAGAAACGCAGGAGTAAGGGAGGAGGGAGAAGGGAGGGAGGAAGGGGCAGGGAGGGAGAAGGAGGGAGGAGAAAGAAGGGAGGAAGAAGAAGGAAGGAAGGAAGGAGGGAGGGAGGATCTGCCCTGGCATTTGTAAAACTCACTTGGTGGCTCTTTAAACAATAGATGGGGACAGGATGAGGTGGCCAAGAAATGAGTATTCATGGCAGCACCAGACCCATGAGAGGTGTGCACAGTGGACTCGCTCATCAGAACCATAGCTGGAAGCAAAAGGAGGATGGTGAGTCCACGGCTATGCAGGCACAAGGTGGAATACTACACGTCACTGAAAAGGTGCTTGCCACAGACCTGGGCAACAGTGCGGGTGAGTCTCACAGGCATCCACAGAGGAACAAGCTCCAGATGCTGAGAAGAGCAGGACATGTGACCCCACTCAGGGACGGCTTACAGCTGGTGATGAAACCAAAAGAGCCATTGCCCTGGTGGGGGCACAGACTCGGGGAGCAAAGGGGGCCTCCTGGGGGGCTAGAATGTTCTGTTCTTCCATCTGGGGGTTCTCCCTCAGTGTGTTTGAGTGTGCACACTAATCTCAGTAAGCCCGTGACACGTATGGACTTTCTGTATATGCCTCCTTTAAAAAACAAAAATGTCCAGTTGGAAACCAAGACCTGCCCTCAGTTTCCCCATCTGTCAAATGGGTGCACATTTCTGGAGCCTGGGTGCACATCTGGAGCCTGGCTGATGCCACACCAGGGGGTCCCCTCCTGCAGCCCAGCCCTCCCCCAACCCATGCTCCTCCACCTAAGGTCCTGTCCCCCAGGCCCCGGCCCCTGTGAGCCAGCTGGGCTGCTAACCCCACAGGCCTGTGGGGTGATCGTGCCGGGAGCTGTTTTGCCAGCGAGGTGAGGTGCCAGAGCGGGCAGAGGAAGGGTTTATAATGATGATTAGGACCGAAATTGGCGGAGATTTACAGCTCCGGCCAGGAACGGAGGGAGAGGGGGCCGGCGCCGGGAGCGGCCTAATGGATCCGTCAGCGCGTTCGGCTGCTCAGCGGGCCGAGGCGGGTCACCCGGCTTTCCACTGGCAGCACAAAGCACTTCAATTTCGTTAGGAAATGTATCAATTTAACTGACTTGAGCGGCACACTGAAAAACCTAATGAATCTGGACTCAATTTTCCGCCACACTGCTCCTGAGAACTGTCGGAAACAATGTCTATGGTCGGAGGTGACGGGGTGGCCGCCGATAGGCCGCGCGTGCCCCTTCCCTTCCCGCCCCGGCTCCCGGTCCTTCCCGTCAGGGTTAGTGGAGAGAGACGGACCTGTCTCCGCAACCTGGTGACAGCCCAGCCCGCCGCCACGTCCCTAACAATGATGTCATTATAGGTAAATTGGCCTCTATTTCAGCGGGGTGGTGGTGCTAATTGAGTGAGAAAATATAATACAGGGAGCTGTTGTCTGCGGCTCCGGGGAGGGGCCGCAGCCTAAATGGCCTACCATTGTCGATGTCAGGCTAGGCAGATGTTGCCTTCTGCCGATAACCGCGCTGACATATCTCGAGCTTGTCACCGCACTCCTGCCCGGGGAATCGCGGCTCTGGCGGCAGATGGCTTCGCTGAATGGCCTCGGAGGGTCCCCACAGCCGGGCGTGGTAGGAGGTGGCCGCCTGGAAAACAGGACAGGCCCTGGGGCCGTCCCCAGCCTCGTGGGGAACGGTTGGTCTGAAGCGCAGCCCTCACAGTACCGGGAGGAGAACATCCATGGGCGGGAGTGGGGTCTCTAGGGGATTCTGCAAAACAGTACCTGTGGTTGGGGCACGGGTGCCCCTGCTGGGAGGAGCCCCTGCTAAGGAAGAGATCCTCCAGCCAAACCCCATAGGTGCCAACTGGTGGGTGTCTGCGGGGGTGAAGGGACAGGTTTCCCCGAAGGCCTCCCCAGAACCCAGAGGCCATGCCCCAGGCCCTGGCTCAATATGGGGAGCACCGATCCAGTGCCCCGACCAGCCTGGCATACCTGGGTGATGACTCCCTGCGTGCCCCCAGCCAGAGCTCCACGCTTCCCTGGGTCCAGGGTCCATGTGGGTCTCAGCCCTGGGGCCTCTCCTCAGCCAGGTCCCAACACACTCAGCTGCTTCCAACACACACACACACACAGTCCCAGACAGAAAAAGTCCTCCCTGTGTCCAGAGGTCCAAGCATGTGGTGATCCCACCCCTTCCCTTGGGCCACTGAGCCCAGACTCACTCATCCCACCAAAGGCCGCCCAGAGTGGCCATTTCAGCTGCAAGTGGCTCTGTGGCTACGTGGGCTGGAACCAGGGCTCCTCCCCACAGGCCAGCCAGGAGCAGCGGCCCCCCCACACACACACACCACAGAGACATCTTGGGCCTAGGCTGGGCTACATACATCTGCATGCATCCGACAGGGACTCAGCCAGCCCAGGTGCCGGGCTGTGGGCTCAGCTGTGCTGGGGACGCTGCCCAAGAGGCCCCCAACTGGGGACACTGCAGGGGACAGAACCTGCCCCCAACTTTTCCAGAGGTGGGCACAGAACAGACTGTGAAGGATGGGGGTGCTGCCAAGCAGAGGGGTGGCCTGGGCCACGGCTTCAGGCAGATGCCCTGCTGGGGCAAGGGACTCCCAGTCCACACCTCAGGACTGCAGGGATGGCCCAGGAGAGCTGGCACCGTGTAGTGAGTGCCTGCTGTGTACACCCCAAAGCACCTTTGAGCCCTTCTCCAGCAGGACTCACCACCCCCCTGTCCCACGCCCCATCCTACACTCTCACCCCATCCCTACACCCACAACCCGACCCACACCCTCACCTATCCCCACACCTGCACCCCGTCCTCACTGGCAAACAGTGTCTGTGGGAGGTAGACAGCCTAGGCCAGGTCCCCTGCGTGGCCATTCCTGATCCCCCACCCACTCCTGAGCCCAAGGTGCAAGGCAAACCCTGCTGTCCAGCATAAAGAGGGAAGAGCCCACACTGGGCATGTGGCTTCCCTGACCTAGGTTGTGCCTGTGACCCGGGATCAGAACCACCTGGGGAGCCATGGACTCTGAGGGAGGCCGTGGCAGGAAGCCCGAGTGGGTGGATGCTGGGGGAGGAAAAGGCTGTGGCTCCCAGACTGGGCCTCACACAGGACTGCAGCATCTTCCTGGGGTCCCTCAGCTGCATCTCCATGTCCAGTCCACTTTCCCAGGGCCTCAGACAAGGCTAGCTTCAATCCTTCTAGAACATCCTAGGCTGGCTCCTAACTCCAGGTGGTTCCCTGAGTGTAATTGAGGTTTGCTTCTTTATCCTTTTCTGTGTTTTCCAGATCCTTCTCCTTGGGTTTTTTTTTTTGTTTGTTTGTTTGTTTTGAGAGAGTCTTGCTCTGTCACACAGGCTGGAGTGCAGTGGTGCATCTCTGCTCACTGCAGCCTTGACCTCCTGGGCTCAAGGGATCCTTCCACCTCAACTTCCCAAGTAGCTGGGGCCACAGGCATATGCCACCGCACCCGGCTGATTTCTTTATTTTTTAAAGAAATGGAGTCTCGCTATGTTGCCCAGGCTGGTCTTGAACTCTTCAGCTCAAGCAGTCCTCCCACCCTGGCCTCCCCAGGTGCTGGGGTTCCAGGTGCGAGCACTGCGCCTGGCCGATGTTTGTTTACCACTCCTCGAGCTTGGGTTTTGCTGGTGCTCTGACGAAGCTGTGCAACTCTGGGGCATATCTGGGGGCAACCCCAGCATGGCAGTCTGCCCTCAGCGTGGCCCTTCCTGGGCCCACAGCCCTGCCCTCAGCCTTGGGCAAGTGGCTGACATCTCTGAGCCTGTTTCCTCCTCTGTGAACTGGGGGCAGCTCAAGTGCTTGGTTCTCTAAGGACCCCTGAGATGAATGTGGGCCCCAAGAGGGTTCTCAGAAAGGAGATCCACCTGCTTCCTGGGGCCTCTGTGCCCAGCCCTTGCTTGGAGCACACGCCCCACCAGCTCCCACTACGCCCATGCTGGCTGTGGAAAAGGACAGGGTGGCTGTAAGGATGTGTCCCTCGGGGTACACTGGCAGGACCTGGGCTGCAGGACACCATGGGAAGGTCGGGCCCGGCTCTGGGGCCATGGCTGGCAGCACCTGGGAAAGAAGTGCCTGGCCACCAGGTGAACCTAGAAGCCAGGATCCAGCACACTGTGGCCTGAGGCTTTCTGCTGTGGCCCTGGGCACCCCAGCAAGGAGGGGAGAGGCTCCTCTCTGGTCTCAAGCTCTGGACTGGGGTGGTCACCGTTCATCCAGCCTCTTCACCTCACCTGGAAAAAGGTGACAGTGCCTGCACTCACGGCCTCCCCAGAAGTGTTGCAAACCGTAGCATGCTGAACACCTGAGCAGGCACTGTGACCCAGGCAGTACCCGTCAAAGAAGGGCGAGCAGCCCGATGCCACTGGAGTGGGAAACGAGGACTTCCAGCAAAAGAAGTGACCAGGACTGGCCTGGCACGGTGGCTCACGCCTATAATCCCAGCACTTTGGGAGGCCGAGGTAGGCAGATCACCTGAGGTCAGGAATTCAAGACCAGCCTGGTCAACATGGTGAAACCCCCCATCTCTACTAAAAATACAAAATTAGCCAGGCATGGTAGCAGATGCCTGGTACCTTTAATTCCAGCTACTCAGGAGGCTAGGGCAGGAAAATCGCTTGAACTCCGGAGGTGGAGGTTGCGATGAGCCAAGATCATGCCATTGCACTCCAGCCTGGGCAACAAGAGCAAAACTCTGCCTCAAAAAAAAAAAAAAGTGTCCAAGACAAACCCCGCAGGACAGGGTTGTTCAGGGGGCAGTGAGGCAAGGCACCAGGTGGCCTGGGTTGGGGACACCACGGAGGCAGTGGTTGGTGGTTTGGCACTGACCTGGCAGATTGGGGGTGGGTGAGGAAGACCTTAACCCAGGGACACGGCCCAGTGCAAAGGAGGTCAACTCTGGCCCCCCAAGGACAGGTCGAAGGATGAGGGGCTGCTCGGCAGGGCCAGGGGAGCTCTGAGGAAGGGGCCAACAGGTGCAGTCCCTAGGACCATGCCCAGCCTGTCCTGCACTTAGAGCCATCAGGAATGATTCAGGTGGCAGGTTTGTGTGCTGTTTGTTAATTTACTCAGACTCATTCATGAGAACAGCTGGCTAGGTCCCAGCAGGGCAGCCTCACCCTCCCACCTGCCGCAAACAGCCAGCTCGGCACCGCGGTGCTCACAGCTCAGCAGGCGCAGCCATGGCCAGCCAGGGACAACCACGACCTTCCAAGGGGGCTGGCCTAGGGAGCTTGGGGGCTGTGGGAGCTGGGGAAGGGGGTTCCTGGCCACATGAGGGGTGTTCAGGGTGGACTCTGCCTGAGAGAGCTGGAGACTGGGGTCGTGAGGACACCTCCAGCGTATGCCACGCAGACCCCTGCCCTCAGCAGAAAGGGCTGTGAGCTGGTCCAGGGGCTGGGGCTGGGGCAGGCCTGACCCTCTCTGGGGCTCTGCCCTGCTGTCCCTGGACAGTGTGAACCGTCCCTTCTGGTCCCACCATCCTGGGATGAGGTGACCCCAGGATGCTCAACTGCTCCCCAAGCTGGGCCAAAACCGTGGTCTGGAGAGAACTGGGCAAGAGAGCAGGAGGTCAGGAGTGGCACGCGTCACTGGGAGCCGGGTTCCAGGCAGCCCTCCCTCGGTCGGACAGGACCCTCGAAGCAGCCAGTCTGAGCTGAACTTGCAGCCGGAGGGGATGGGCTCCAGGGTGGCCGTCGCTGGGAAGGCTATTAGCGCAGTGAAGCTTCACTACCACTCAGGGTTTGGGCTAGACGTCGGGGCGTGCACTCGCTGAGCACCCTCTAATAGAACAGACAGGCTTTCCTCTCTTCATCTCCCCGTCCCCATAGCTTTGTTATTTAAAGTCAGGTTAAGGGAAGAAAAAAAACCCACAGACAGGTTTGGCTGGGAAGCCCGAGGACAGAAAAAGTTAGAGATATTTATTTGACAGGGTCAAGGTTGGAGCCTTTCTCTTCCCTCTCCCCAGGTCCCATAGGTGTTAGGCTGAGAGACATTTAATCGCGGGAGTAGCGGTTTCATATCTATAACAAAAATCAAATAATGCAAGATGATTTACTCCCCCTAGCAACCACGGAGCTCACCCTTAGCAACCAGCCTAGCCTCGGGCTGCGGTGTAATCAGCTTGAAAATATTTCAATTATTGTGTTGATTTTAGTGGATTTGAGAAGCGTTGTGTGGAGAGCTGGGCACATTCTCCCCACGACCTGGAGAGGAAGATATTGATTTAAACAGGTGTCAGGGAGGGAAGTGGGGAAAATTTAAATGTGATGGGAGAACAGCGCGTTGCACGCGGAACAGGCCGGGATGACATTTTGTGCGTCGCCTTGAACAAAAGTGACTCAACTGAACTAGAAATTTCACCTTGAAAATCATCTCCCATCGACACAATCAAGGCAGGCCCGCCACACCATACCCGTGTCCCCAGCTGGCAGTTGGGAGGGTCGGGGTGGCGGGAGTGGGTCCAACCTGAAGAGAGTCTCTGGGTGTCCTGAGGCTTTGGAGACAGGGGTGGGAGAAGGAGCGGCAGGGATCGGCCACATTCCCTATCCCTGCCTCGGTGTCCCCTCTGTAGACCAGGCAGGTGTTTTGAGGGCCTGTGGTGAGCTATCTTCTCCGAGACCTCCCGACAGGGTCTTGGACCTTCACCCAGGCTCCCAGGCCAGGTGCTTGGCCCCAGATTCAGCCAGGCGCTCCTGCATCAGCACAGACACCTGGCACCTGGCCCCGTTACGCACCTTTACATAGGTGGCCAGAGGGCAGTGCTGCTGTGTCTGACAGGAAGGGAGGAAAGGGGTCCAGCTTTTACCCAAGAGGATGAGAGCCCAGCGCCCACCCTGGCACAGCTCCTCCTCAGCTGCAGCCCTTCACACTGTCACCCCAGACCTGGCTGCTACAGGGCTCCCTGGGCCCCCAAACACCCACCCTCTCTTCACTGTGTGGAAAACAGAGCCCAGGAGGGCAGCAAGTAAGCCAGCCATGGTGGCTCACACCTGAGACCCCAGCTACTCAGGAAGTTGAGGCAGAAGGGTCACTTAAGTCAGGAGCTTGAGACCAGCCTGGGCTACATAGTGAGACTCGGTCTCTACCAAAAATTTTTTATAATTAGCTGGGTGTGATAGTGTGTGTCTGTGGTTCCAGCTACTCAGGAGGCTAAGGGGAGGATCACTTGAGCCAGGAGTTGGAGACCAGCCTGGGCAACAGAGCAAGATCCCATCTCAAAATAATAATAAAAAGGGAAGCAGCAAAGGTGGGCTGAGGAAGACTCCGTACTGTCCTGGGATGCAGTGTGAGCCAGGGAGAGAGGCCTGGGCCACCAAGCTGTCATGAAGAGGGTGTGCCTGTATCAGGCGGGATGCCTGCCCTTTCCCGGAGCCCTTTTCATGCAGTGCACTCTGGTGCTCCCGGATGTCAGGGGCCACCTCAGACAGAAAAGATCCCTGTCATCCCCCAGCTCGGTCTCCTGGCAGGCCTGGAAAAGCCCGGGCCGCCTCACTGGGACTCTCTACATCCCCTAAAGCTCCCCTAACCCAGAGCTGCTCTGGGGGTGGAGGGATGCCCTGCCTCTAACCTCAGCGGTTCCTCTTCCTCCCTCAGACTCCCAATGTGGGAGGGCCCCCCTTGACTGGTGTTCCCCGGGCGGACCATTATTGATGCATGTCCATACAGCAACTTGTGGATACCCCCTGGGGACGCCCGCTGGCCACAGCCGTGCTGAGCAGACTTCTCCTCTGACTGGACCCCAGTGCCCCACCCTCCCTTTGACCCCAGCATCTGCAGGAGCCCTCTTGAGCAGGGACCATGGTAAGGGCCAGGTGGGGCCAGGTGGGTCGTGCTGACCTCAGGGCACAGCAGTGAGGCCCATGCCAGCCCCCACTCACCACATGCACCTCCAGTTGGGGCCCAGGTTGGGCCACCCAGGCATGGCCACCAGAGGGGCAGGTGCATCCTGGGGTCCTTCCCCGTTGGTTCTTCTGCATGCAGGTCTCTGCTGTCCCCCTGTGGGGTGCTGGGACCCAGGGATGAAGACCTGGACCCTGCCCACCTAGAGTCACACAGAGGCCCCACATCACAGAGCGGGACAGGGGCTTGAGGGTCACCTCCAGAGAGGAGGCATGTAGCATCTGACCACCTTCTGCAGGAAGAGTTAACCAGTGGAAGAGAAGGGGGAGGAGAGGGGGCAGAACGGCTTACAGGAAGAGGCAGGACCTGGAAAATGGGCAAAGAGGAGGTGTGAGGTTTCCAGGTCCAGCCCCACTACAGCAGTGGCACACTCAGTTCCCAACCCTACACAGTCTGTCCCCAACCCTGGAGAGTCTGTCTCCCATAACACTGCACAGTCTCTCTCCCAACCCTACACAAACTGCGCCCCCAACCCTACATGATCTCCCCAACCCTACACGATCTCCCCAACCCTGCACAATCTCCCCAACCCTACACAATCTTCCCAACTGCACAATCTCCCCAACCCTGCACAATCTCCCCAAACCTACACAATCTCCCCAACCCTGCACAATCTCCCCAACCCTGCACAATCTCCCCAACCCTACACAATCTCCCCAACCCTGCACAATCTCCCCAACCCTACACAATCTTCCCAACTGCACAATCTCCCCAACCCTGCACAATCTCCCCAACCCTACGCGATCTCCCCAACCCTGCACAATCTCCCCAACCCTACACAATCTCCCCAACCCTACACGATCTCCCCAACCCTACACAAACTGCGCCCCCAACCCTACACGATCTCCCCAACCCTACACGATCTCCCCAACCCTGCACAATCTCCCCAACCCTACACAATCTTCCCAACTGCACAATCTCCCCAACCCTGCACAATCTCCCTAAACCTACACAATCTCCCCAACCCTGCACAATCTCCCCAACCCTGCACAATCTCCCCAACCCTACACAATCTCCCCAACCCTGCACAATCTCCCCAACCCTACACAATCTTCCCAACTGCACAATCTCCCCAACCCTGCACAATCTCCCCAACCCTACGCGATCTCCCCAACCCTGCACAATCTCCCCAACCCTACACAATCTCCCCAACCCTACACGATCTCCCCAACCCTGCACAATCTCCCCAACCCTACACAATCTCCCCAACCCTGCACGATCTCCCCAACCCTACACAATCTCCCCAACCCTACACGATCTCCCCAACCCTGCACAATCTCCCCAACCCTACACAATCTTCCCAACTGCACAATCTCCCCAACCCTGCACAATCTCCCCAACCCTACACAATCTCCCCAACCCTACACGATCTCCCCAACCCTGCACAATCTCCCCAACCCTACACAATCTTCCCAACTGCACAATCTCCCCAACCCTGCACAATCTCCCCAACCCTGCACAATCTCCCCAACCCGCACAATCTCCCCAACCCTACACAATCTCCCCAACCCTGCACAATCTCCCCAACCCTACACAATCTTCCCAACTGCACAATCTCCCCAACCCTACGCGATCTCCCCAACCCTGCACAATCTCCCCAACCCTACACAATCTCCCCAACCCTACACGATCTCCCCAACCCTGCACAATCTCCCCAACCCTACACAATCTCCCCAACCCTGCACGATCTCCCCAACCCTACACAATCTCCCCAACCCTACACGATCTCCCCAACCCTGCACTATCTCCCCAACCCTACACAATCTTCCCAACTGCACAATCTCCCCAACCCTGCACGATCTCCCCAACCCTACACAATCTCCCCAACCCTACACGATCTCCCCAACCCTGCACAATCTCCCCAACCCTACACAATCTTCCCAACTGCACAATCTCCCCAACCCTGCACAATCTCCCCAACCCTGCACAATCTCCCCAACTTGCACAATCTCCCCAACCCTACACAATCTCCCCAACCCTGCACAATCTCCCCAACCCTACACAATCTTCCCAACTGCACAATCTCCCCAACCCTGCACAATCTCCCCCAACCCTATGCGATCTCCCCAACCCTACACAATCTCCCCAACCCTGCACAATCTCCCCAACCCTACGCGATCTCCCCAACCCTACACGATCTCCCCCAACCCTACACGATATCCCCCAACCCCACACGATCTCCCCAACCTCACACCATCTCCCCAACCCTACATGATCTCCCCAGCCCTACACAATCTCCCCCAATCCCACATGATCTCCCCAACCCCAGACAATCTCCCCCAACCCTACACGATCTCCCCTAACCCTATACCATCTCCCCAACCCTACACGATCTCCCCAACCCTACACAATCTCCCCCAGCCCTACACGATCTCCCACTATACATACACGATCTCCCCCAACCCTACACTATCTCCCCCTATACATACACGATCTCCCCCAACCCCACACCATCTCCCCAACCCTACACAATCTCCCCCAACCCTACATGATCTCCCCCAACCCTACACGATCTCCCCCTATACATACACAATCTCCCCCAGCTCTACAAAATCTCCTCAACCCTACACAATCTCCCCCTAACCCTACACAATCTCCCCCAATGCTATACAATCTCCCCCAACCCTACACGATCTCCCCCTAACACTACAGAATCTCCCCAACCCTATACAATCTCTCCCAACACTACAGAATCTCCTCAACCCTACCATCTCCCCAACCCTACACGATCTCCCCAACCCTACACAATCTCCCCCATCCCTAAACAATCTCCCCCAACCCTACATGATCTCCCCCAACCCTACACAATCTCCCCCTAACCCTACACAATCTCCCCAACCCTAAACAATCTCCCCAACCCTACACGATCTCTGCTCCCAGCCCTGGGTGCCTCTATACTGATTTTTTTTCTTCCAGGCTAGGGAGAGCCCAGGCTTTCTGTACCTGCAATTCTCTGAGGGGAGGACTTCTCCCCAGACACCTCATGGTGTCTTCTCCTGTGGGTGCCGCTTCTGCTGAAGGGCCCTATCTGACAAACCCTGGCCAAAGCAGCTCCCTGTCACTCACCCCTCCAGTTTTCTCATCACAGCACCCATCACCAGACACCTGAAGTTGTTTGTAT